TAAGTCACAACCTTAATAAGATCTAGAGACTGAATAGTACAGCATGATGACAATAACTACACTACTACTACTACTACTACTAGTATTTGGCAGTTGCCAGAATCAAACCAGAGTCTCACACATCTGGGAAGCATTGTAGTGCTGTATCATATCCCTGGCCCTGTACTTAAAATTCTTTTAAAAAACAGATCTTTAATGTATCACCATACCTCCCTCCCAAAGTTATTAGGCGAGGAATTGAAGGAATAAACTAACTTTATATTTTGTAATATTTGTGTCTCAGATCATTGCCTACACCTTTAAATCACACTTGTGTTTCATTAATTCCCCAGTAACACTAGTGGAGGGCAGTGAGTGGAAGGGAAATACAAGCAATCCAGTTAAAAAATGAACCTCAGATTCAAATGCTCATTTAAAGAAAAATGTTAAAATGTCCAATAATCACCTGAAATAAAAAAACTTATCCATCATTAATCATTAGAAAAATGCAAACCAAAAACTACAGTGAAATACCATCTCACATCCATTGTCCATTATGTTTACTTAAAATAACAACACAGAGAAGAGAATTATTAGTCAAATGGAGTAACTGGAGTCCTTGATGCAGCCACTGTGAAGAGACATACTATCGTACATCAAAACATGAAATATTAAATTTGGTGTAGTACAAGTTCTCCACTACCCAACCACCGCCATGCCTCAGGCTGCTTTCTATACTCTCGGACTGAGCCTCACACATGAGTGAACATATTCCTGGACCATAGAGGGAAATATATTTATTATATCTATATCTATATCTATATCTAGATCTAGATCTAGATCTAGATCTAGATCTAGATCTATACATATTCCTGGACCATAGAGGGAAATATATATATATTTATTATATCTCTCTCTCTATATATCTCTCTCTTTCTATATATATGCCTCTCGGAGAGCCTGGCAATCTACTGAGAGTATCCCGCCTGCACAGAAGAGCCTGGTAAGCTCCCCATGGCGTATTCAATATGCCAAAACCAGTAACAATAACAGGTCTCATTCCCCTGAGCCTGAAAAAGCCTCCAATTGGAGGGAAAGATGAGTTAGGAGAGGCTGCTAAAATCTCCAGGCTGGGGCAAATGGAGATGTTACTGATGCCCACTCGAGTAAATCGATGAACAACAGGATGACAGGGTCAGTGACAGTGATACAGTGATACAAGTTCTCTTCTAGCTATGTACTTTAAATAGGGGGAATGTGGAACACAGGAAATATTTGTACAGCAGTGTTTATAGGGGCCTTATTTAAAATACACAAAAGGTAGAAACAACCTACGTATTTGGACAGATGAATAAAAACAATATGGTGTACATGCAATGGACTATTATTCAGTCTTAAAAAGAATGAAATCTTACTATGTCAACACAGTGTCTTATAGCATAGTAAAAATTCTTATGCTAAATAAAATAAACTTGACATAAAAGGGAAAATTTATGACTTGAAAAGATTGTATGGTGAGTTCTTAGAACAAATTCTTAGAGAAAAAGAATAAATCATGATTACCAAAAGCTAAGGGAAATGGAGAATGAGAACAAGAGCTTAAATGTTATAGAATTTCTGTATGAAGTGATAGAATATTAGAAATAATGGCATTTTTATAATTGTGTGAATCTACTTAATAAGATAGTACACTTAAAATGAAAAAAAATCTATTAGATATATTTTGCCATGATTTCTAAAAGAAAAATTAAACTTCTGTTTTGTGAAAAAAAACAAGGATTTCAAAACAATTTTTACTTATTTCTAATTTTGGTACACACCCAGCTATATTCAGGGTTTACATCTGGCTCTGTGCTCAGGGATCACTTCTGGTGGGGCTCAGGAGACCATATGGGGAGCTGAGGATAGAACCTGGGTCAGCTGCCTCCAAAGCAAGTGCTCTGTGTACTGTATTATCTCTCCACAGGCTCAAAATGATTTTTAAAGAACAAGCAAGCAACCTCTGTCTGGCAACAAAAGAACATATCTTTCTTCCACGGGAGGGATCTCACATGCATTTTCAGGGTCCTAGGGTTTCTTGTTCACCAGCTACCTATCCCATAATTTCACCTTGAAGCTTGTTCTTATCCTGGTTTGCAATCCTACCCTTGACAGTCTTCCTCAAATATGTGAGGTCCCTCTCACTGGCTCTAGTTTCAGATATGGGGCCCCAGGGGCAAATTCATTTGCACCCTTGTTGATGAATCTGCTTGAATAGGAGCATTTGTGCTCAAAGTCAAGTGAAATCTGTAGGGGCTTGTGGGGAACACCAGGGGTGTCAATCAGGTGATCAAGAGAGCAGGGCTAGAGAACCCCAAGAGTAGGAGCAAGAAGGGGAAATAATTAGCAATGCATGAGAAAATTTAAGTCAATATGCTACAAAAAGAAGCATAAAGTAAATTTATAGGAGAACATTGAAAAACACTGATTCAATAAACCCTGAATTGAGAAATCTTGGTGTGAAAAATCTCCCCCGGGACCTGTGGAGAAAACCTGATACCATATTTTAGGAAAGGAAACACATATTATCACTGTCACTGTCCTCCCATTGTTCATCCATTTGCTCGAGCGGGCCCAGTAACGTCTCCATTGGAAACTTTGTTGTTACTGTGGCTGGCATATCGAATATGTCACGGGGAGCTTGCCAGGCTCTGCCGTGCGGGCGAGATACTCTCGGTAGCTTGCCGGGCTCTCCGAGAGGGGCGGAGGAATCGAACTCGGGTCGGCCATGTTCGCTGCGTGCAAGGCAAATGCCCTATCGCTGTGCTAGTGATCCAACACATATTAAAGTACATGTATTTGTATTTTGTTACTTAAAACTGGATGTTTCTCTCTCTCTCTCTTTATTTTTTGGCTTTTTGGGTCACACCTGGCGATGCACAGGGGTTACTCCTGGCTTTGCACTCAGGAATTACTCCTGGTGATAGCTCAGCGGACCATATGGGATGCTGGGAATCGAACCCGGGTCTGCCGCATGAAAGGCAAACGTCCTCCCTGCTGTGCTATCACTTCAGCCCCCAAATTGGATGTTTTTAGGCACTCTGAAAGGCAAATGGGATTGCTTAGGATAGCTTTAACTGGCCAGTGATGAGAAATCGAGCACTTGAAGAATTGAGTCCACAGCTATGCTCAAGGGGGAAAGTTTAAGCAATAAAATTTGTTTTTTTCTTGCTTTTTGGGTCACACCCCTCTCGGAGAGCCCGGCAAGCTACCGAGAGTATTCGATATGCCAGACACAGTAACAACAAAGTCTCCAATGGAGACGTTACTGGGCCCGCTCGAGCAAATCGACGATCAACGGGAGGACCTTTACCTTTACCTTTACCTTTACCCAGCGATGCACAGGGATTACTCCTGGATCTGCACTCAGGAATTGCTCCTGGCGGTGCTAGGGGACCATATGGGATGCTGGGAATTGAACCCGGGTCAACCGTGTGCAAGGCAAATGCCATACCAGCTGTGTTATTGCTCCAGCCTCTGCAATAATTTTTTTTAAAGTCCTTGTGATGCATAAGGGAAGCAGAACATAATAGGAAAGGTTAAATGCTGACCGACCTCCAGGAGACCAAACTCTGGAACCAGTGGGAGTTCTTTCTTGACTTGGGGGTGTATTTCCTGGATCCTGGTGGCAACAAACCTGGATCTATGTTTTCTGTTTAAGAGGGTAACTACCAAGAGCACTCTAATAGTGCTATCAAGGAGAGTGGGGAGCAGGGAGAGATCGTCACCAGGTAGTGAGAAAGTCAAACTTCGAGAAATGCAAGAAAGTGGCTCATCTTAAATTTGTGAAGACCCAGCAGCAGGGTGAAGCCCACTCCCAAAGACTAATACTTAAGATGGCTGAATTATGTCCACACAATTCAGAAAGTGGGGTTGGGCACTTTTGTGTAATATGCTGGTGTCTAGGGTTGTTACTGAGCATGGGAACAGGAAGGGGGCTCATCAGGACCAAAGAAGAGCATGACCTCTCATCTTCCCAAGCCCTGACCTCCTGTATTTTTTGGGGGGGTTTACAAAACTATTAAAATGGATTCTTATGCACATAATTCCAACACCACACCTATCACTGTGTACCTGTCTCCCTTCCCCCAAAGCCCCCATGCCCCTCCTCCTCCATCCCCTTCAACTCAATTGTGAGGATCTCCCATTGTGTTGCCTTTGACCCTTTGTTGCTCTCTCATGGTGAATCTTAGGTCTTCTGTAGAGATCATTCTGTGTCTGTCCCTTCTCTGTGACTTCATTCAACATGAGATCCTCTAGTTCCATCCATGCTGTTGAAGATTGCATGATACTGTCCTTTCTTGCAGCTGTATAGTATTCCATTGTGCATATATGCCACAACCTCATGATCCATTCATCTCTGGTTGGACATTTGGGTGTTTCCAAATCCTGGCTATTGTACAGCCAGGATATTGAGTGCAGCAATGAACATGGTGTGCATAGATCCTTTTGAATGAATGTTTTTTTTTTTTTGTTTCTTGTGATAGAAGCTAAGAAGTGGTACTACTGGGTCATATGAGAGTTTCCTTCCTTCCTTCCTTCCTTCCTTCCTTCCTTCCTTCCTTCCTTCCTTCCTTCCTCCCTCCCTCCCTCCCTCCCTCCCTTCCATTTTTTGAAAGATATCCATATTGCTTTCCATAGAGGCCATTCCCACCAACAGGGGATGTCATATCCTCATCAACACTCACTGTCTCTGGATTTTTTTCCTATTTTTTTTACATGTCCCATTATCATAAACTTACCAAGAAAAAAACCCTTTGAGCCTCATCCCAAACCTGGGTTGCAGTACCCTGGGAGTTCCCTGCCGTCTTCCCTCTGCTGGCCTGGACTAGGGTCTCATCGCCTCAGCGCCTGTTCTCGGGGCACCTGCTCCCTCTCCTGCTCCGGCGGGCGCGACTGACCGCCTCGCTCCTGGCACTGCTCCGGTCCTCCTGCCCAGCCCAGGTTTCACTGCTGCCCCGCGGCGCGAACGCTGCGAACGCTCCGTCCACAGCCCCGGCGGTGGCCAGCGAGTCCACATTTCTGCTCCTCCCCCGAGACTGCGGCAGGACACAGCACCAGCAGCGGCGGGCCAGTGAGTACCTGGACGGGAGGCAGCTCTTTCCTTTCCACTGGAGCTGAGAAGGGGTCTTGATAAGGAATGTTCTGGAAGGCTGCTCTGCTCCCCCAGAAAGCCTGCACCCCCAATTTCTTCTAAGCGGGATGGAAATGATGCCAGGGTTTCTGATTAGCTCCCGGGGTTGAGGATTTGGGCGGGGCATGGGGAGGGGGTCCACGGAGTCGAGAGGAGCAGGGGGGGGACGGGCCACGCCGGGTGTGCGCGGCGCGGTCCGAGGGGCTGCAGAGCGGGAGCCGAGACCCCCACCCCCACCCCCACTCCCACTCCCACCCCGCGACGGGGGCGGGAGGAGCACGAACAAAGCGAGCGCGCTGGGGCCGCCCCGGCGAGCGCTCGGCCCAGCCCCGGGCGCGGCTCCGCGCGCAGCAGCCCCCGGCCCAGATCCCGAGCGCGGCACCTCGCAGGCGGCCCGGCCCGAACCGAGGCCGAGGCCCCGAGCCCGGAGCTCCGCCTGCCGGGGCCCGCCCGCCGCCTCCCGGCACCAGCCCGGCTCGGAGCTGACCGTGGTGCTGAGCTTGCGCGCCGTCCCCGCCACCCTCGGGTCCCCGCGGTAAGCATCCGGGCCCTGGCCGCGCCAGCTGGGGATGGGGAGGGGGTGGGCGCGTGTGATGCCAGCCTGCCAGCGTCCTGGCGATGGGAAGAAGCCGGGTTCGGCCCAGTGTCCGCCCGCGGTGCCCAGAGTTGACAGCGCCGGGCTGGGGCTTAGGAACCCTGAGGTCCGCGCCGGGAAAAGGGGAGGCAGCCCCGGGTGTGGGGTCTGGAAGAAAGGCTAAGGCTGGAGACCAGCTCCAGTGGGAGGGCGGGGTAGGGGCGCCAGGGTCCCCTAGAGGACGAGGGCCGGGACCTGAGCTCCCCAAAGGGCCCTTTGTCTCCCCAGCGTGGGGGTTGGGTGAATCTGAGATGTTCTCAACGGAAGCTATTTCTGCTTTTCTCCCCACCCCACGCCCACCTTAGAACACCATCCCGCGGTGGTCCCCCACTCCCCCAGGTGATGGTTTACAGGCAGCCATAAACCGCCGCCGCCTCCTCGGTAGCTTCGCACCCCACCCTAAATGCCAGCAAGTCCCTGTGTTGGATCACCCTGCAGGGAGTCCCTTTCTCTCTCTCTTTCTTTCTTTCTTTCTTTCTTTCTTTCTTTCTTTCTTTCTTTCTTTCTTTCTTTCTTTCTCTTTTTTTTTTGGAAATCACCTTTGTTTACTCCTTTGTTTCAGTGATGAATTTTCCTGAATAACCGGAATGAGGTGTGGGGAGGTAAAGGAAATGCAATAGCACAGCGGTAGGGCGTTTGCTTTGCAAGAGGCCGACCAGGCCGGCCCAGGTTTGATTCCTCCGCCCCGCAAGATACTGGAGTATCTCGCCCGCACGGCAAAGCCTGGCAAGCTACCCGTGTCATACTCGATATGTCAAACACAGTAACAAGTCTCGAATTGGAGACGTAACTGGGCCCGTTCGAGCAAATCAATGAACAACGGGAGGACAGTGACAGTAAATATTTTTATATTTAGACATTGTTTCTGCTGCATACCTCCAATTTTTCACACCCTGCCATTTTTAAGCTAAAAGGGGAAAAAAAACATAAAGTACAGAATTAAGTTCTCAAATGGAAAAGAAAATCCTAAGTGGTTGGCTAAAGTTAGTCATCATAGAGATAAAAACTAGGGTAGAATCACTTCATTCTTTCCATTTACTACATTATCCATTTGCATGCGGTACTTCTGTGTTGATATCACTGAGACCTGTCTTAAAAAAACAAAGGTATGCGTTAACTCTTAGTAAAATGAAAATTTCCAGACCCAGCCATTCTATTGAAGAAGCATAGGTGCAAATAAGGTGTCTCCAAAACATAAGCACTTCATTTACATTAGTGACACTTCATTCTACTGCAGTTGGAGTTTTGAACCCTGGAAAACCCTCACTGGGGAGCAAGAAGACTCAGCGTGAACTGTGTTCACTGAGTGCCACAGACAAAAAGTCACCAACAGGTTCTTTTTTGAGAAAGTTTCTGTTCATTTAGTCGCCCCATTTTGTGATGGGGTTGGATGTTTTCTTCTTGTGGAGTTCTACCAGTGAACAAAAGGGAATGCTCTGCCACAGAGGCAGGGTGGGATGGGGTGGATAGGGGGTGGGAGGGATACTGGGATTAGGGGTGGTGGAGAATGGTTACTGGTGGAGGGATGGGTACTCGATCATTGTATAACTGAAACCCAAGCACAAAAATTTATAAGTCTACAACTGTACCTCATGGTGTTTCACTGTCACTGTCCTCCTGCTGTTCATCAATTTTCTCAAGCGGGCCCAGAAAAAAATTTTAAAAAAAGAATTAAAAATAAATGTTACCAACATTGAGGGGACAGGTCTACTTTTGCCTTAAGGGAGGATTTGGCACATAGTAGGGGGCTCTTTTTTAGGCAATGTGCTGGTGGTCTCCATGGAGAGGGTATTAAAGGGTTCCAAAAGAGTTTGCCTTTTAAAATTTTTTTAACTGAGCACCTGGATATGTTTGGTCTCTGCCCTTGGCAATAATGATACTGGTGTCTGGTAGTTCAGAGAAATTCCATTCTGCCCTGAGGGCTGTTAGGGAAGGTGAAGTTCTGTCTCCACACGGCAGTGGGGCTTGTGACTTCTCAGGGAGTTCCCATCTATCTCAATCGCTGGCCCCACATTTCACCGTGAGATACAATTACAAGCTTTCATGTTTGAGTTACAATCATACAATGATCAAACATCCATCCCTCTACCAGTGCACATTCCCCAACACCAATCTCCCCAATATACGACCCATTTTCCACCCTTCCCCTGCCTCGATGGCAGACAGTTTCTCTCATACTCTCTCTACTTTTGGGCATTATGGTTTGCAATACAGATACTGAGAGGTTATCATGTTTGGTCCTTAATCTACTTTTTAAATTTTTAAAAAATTTTTATTAGTGAAACACCATGAGGTACAGTTGTAGACTTACAAATTTTTGTGCTTGGGTTTCAGCTATACAATTATCAAGTACCCATCCCTCCACCAGTGCCCATTTTCCACCACCATGGGTCCCAGTATCTCTCCCACCCTTTGGTACACATCTCCCATCCCGACCGATTCCTCCAACCATCATTCTCTTAGTGATCCCTTCTTTATTCCAGCTGCCTTCTCCCCCCACTCATAAGGCAGGCTTCCAACTATGAAGCAATCTTCCTGGCCCTTGTGTCTACTCTCCTTGGGTGTCATTCGTATGTTTTGTTATTTTATACTCCACAAATGAGTGCAGTCCTTCTATGTCAGTTCCTCTCTTTCTGACTCATTTCACTTAGCATGATACTCTCCATGTCTATCCACTTATAAGCAAATTTCATGATTTTATCTCTCCTAAGAGCTGCATAGTATTCCATTGTGTAGATGTACCAAAGTTTCTTTAACCAGTCGTCTGTTCTTGTGGCCTCACATTTCTAATGGAATATTTGAATGTAGGAAGTGACTGGACTAAACACATGATTAAACTAAATTTTTATCAAAATTCTGCAAGTCACTGGTTCACTGTTCTGAACCTTAGTGTTTATTGTTCTATTGATAGGCAAAATGCTAAATAAACTCTTGGAAACTGGTTGGAAGTATTTGGAACTCTTGGAAACTGGTTGAAAGTACCTGACACTGAGTCCAGGTATTTTCAGGAATTGTTTTCCAAATTCAGAATGCAGCAAAATTTCTGAATGTTCATGATTCTGAATTAATTAACTCAAAATCAGTTCTAGAATTAAGTAGGTTTATTTATAGAGATACAAAAAAATTAACCAGTTTTACTCTTGTGGTTGACAAATTCTACACACAGTTATCACTATCTGGCTAAAGTTATTTTTTAAGTGTATGGTAATGTAAATGTATTTATAAAATATGGGAAAGAATATGTACAATAGTAATCTTCTAGTGTCTCTAAAACTTTTTGCTTTAGAAATGATTACAATATTTTTAAATTTGTTTGAATTAAACTTAACTTCATTTTTATTAAGATTTCTAAAATTACTCACAAAGCAGAGTCTTCTTTTTTTTTATTATTTCTTCCTTCATTCCTTCTCTTTCTTCATTTCTTTCATTCTTCTTTTTCCTCGTGTGTGTGTGTGTGTGTGTGTGTGTGTGTGTGTGTGTGTGTGTGTGTGTAATGGAACATGCAAGGTAAGTCTACTGATCCACATTCCTGGCCCTTAAAAATACATTTATTATTGAAGTTTTAGATTTCCCAGGAAAAGAGTCTGAGTTGTTGGTTCCATAGAATATCAATAATGGTTAAAACACTGCTTCAAAGTCTAGAGTCGAGGGGCTGGAGCAATAGCACAGCGGGTAGGGCATCTGCCTTGCATGCAGCCAACCCAGGTTCAATTCCCAGCATCCCATATGCTCCCCTGAGCACCACCAGGGGTGATTCCTGAGTGCAGAGCCAGGAGTAACCCCTGAGCATCACCAGGTGTGACCCAAAAAGCAAAAAAACCCCCAAAAAACAAAAAAAAAAAGTCTAGAGTCCAAATTCTAGCTCTGTTCCTTAACATCTGTAGGAAAGGGGCAATTAACTGGCTTTTCTGGATGTTAACATCTATTTTTTAAATTTTTATCATTTATTTATTTATTTATTTATTGCTTTTTGGGTCACACCTGGCAATGCACAGGGGTTATTCCTGGCTCTGAGCTCAAGAATTACCCCTGGCAGTGCTCAGGGGACCATATGGGATGCTGGGAATCGAACCCGGGTTGGCCACGTGCAAGGCAAATGCCCTACCCACTGTGCTATTGCTCTAGCCCCACATCTATTTTTTTAGAATGACAGTTAGAACAGTATATCACTTGTAAAGTTATGGCCAAGTACCTGGCTAGATAGATGTAATTAGGTATCATATTTGAAGATATGGATGTTAGCTGGACTTTCAACTCTTGATCCCAGATAACATCTATTGTTCTGTGTGCACTGATACCCGTCAGTCATGGGAAAGCCTTATCTGGGCCACCGGAAATTGAACAAAGTGGAAATGGAGTTTGCAGATGCAAAGGTGGGAAAGACTAGGGCACTAGTCACGTAACAGACGGCAAGACGGCAGCCTGAGAAACTGTTCACTGCCCTGGGTATTGCCAGCCAAGTCCCCATTGATGTCGCTTTCCCTGGCATGTTGCCTGTTCCTTTTCTAGCCAAAAGTTGCAGGTTTCCCTCTGCAGGGGAGGAAGGATTGATGCTGGTGAGAGGAAGGTGGATGCCAGTGTTTTTGCCCTTCTGGGCCTTGGCATTGTCAGGTTTGCCACCCCTTGGCATTCTCTTTGCCTTTAATGTGCCAAGTGAGCTGCAAGGCAACCCGTTTGCGTGCCTCAGGGTCCTCGTGTCAAAGCATTTCAGACTCCATATCTGGACATCTCTCTGGAGCAGCTGCTCGCTTTCTTTGGCAATGGGTCCAAAATGCCTGCAGGCTTTACACTCGAGCAGTAGTGGGTGACAGATGGCAGGGGAGGCGAGTGTGTGTACTTCCTGTGAAGTCTGTATAAAGGGCATAGAATCAGTCAATAACAGGATTCTCTGCATCCCTCTGCAGGTCATTCACCACTTCCATGAAGCGGAAACACTGCATCAATGAGCCTCTGAGCCAGGTGCTCATGAGGACAGGGTGAAGGAGGACCAGGGGAGCTTCACACGTGCACATTGCTTTCTGCTGCTCATGGGTGTTAAAACATCCCTCAGAGGCAGCACATTTAAAATTAGACCCTTATTTGTGGCCCCAAAGAAGGTCCTGCTGACACCTTTACTCATCTCTTGACTTTCCCACCCCCATTGTCCCCCTCTTTGGGCATGAATCCAGACTTCAGTGTCTACATCATCTGCCCTGGTTTTCTTCATTCAGTTGCTGGTCGGGTGTGCCTTCTCTTGAATCACCCTCCAACCTTGCCCTTTTTTTCCATGCCCTTGACCGCAGCCTCTATCTAGACAGTATTTTTACCCTTCAGCCCATTTCAGCCACCTCCTGCATGTCTTCCCTTCAGAATCTCTTCTGATTTATTCTGTCCTCACACGAGACATAAACAGTCTTAGACCAGCAAGTTCATTATTATCTCTGCTTCCACCCACTCATTCAGAAGTCTTTCAAAGCTCTTCACTGATCTCAGGGTAAGGCCAAACTTCCCAGCAGTGGTTACCACTTCCTCACTTCGACACCCAGGGTAGACGCAATCCCATTTTCCACTGAATTCAGACTGGGCTTCAGAAACACTCTCTAAACGGGTCAATCTATAAATGGTACTTTAGGCATCTAGCAAGATAGACACAAAGGGGGACACCTCCTACCTATTCCTCCTGCCCACAGTATAATGTATCTATGCAGTCTACCTATTCTTGGCCTCATATTCACCTCCTCTCTATTGCCTTCTGTCAAAATGCTTCCTCTTATTGGTCCTCAAGCTCTGCATGCATCACTAGATGCTTGAATGTGCCTTGCCTCAGATCTCTGAACCTGGCCTCTAACAGATGAAAATATCTTGAAATGTGGTAGATGGGCCTTCCCTTTCAAATGACAATCACCTGCATTTATCACAGAAAATGGTAGCTTGCGTTTCTCTCTCAGCTTGTGTCTTCTCTGACGGAATTTATTTATTTTATTAATTCACCATGAGATATCGTTACAAGTTTTCATGTTTGAGTTACAATCACACAATGATCAAGCACCCATCCCTCCACCAGTGCTCATTACCCACCACCAATATCCCCAGTATACCTTCACCTTTCCCACCCCCCACTGCCTCCATGGAAGACAACATTCCCCATAATCTCTCTCTACTTTTGGGAATTATGGTTTTCAATGCATATACTGAGAGGTTATCATGTTTGATCCTTTATCTACTTTCAGCACACATCTCCCATCCCGATGGATTCCTCCAACCATCATTTTCTTAGTGATCCCTTCTGTATTCCAGCTGTCCTCTCCCTGTCCGCTAATGAGGCAGGCTAGAAGGGAATTTATTTATGGAATCCTTGGCTCCATTGAGTGGAGGGCCATGAACTCCACACGAGGACATGAAGATATCTGTAGACTTTCTGAATTTGGAAATGGAAGTCTGGCCCAGATATAGAAACTATAGAAGGCCTATCTGACTCAAGAGATCGCAGATGCAAGAGCACCAGACCTGAGTATTCTCTCATTTTCATTTCTACTTTGTAATGATATGCATGTGACTTAGCCTTTCTGGGTAGAGCTGTCCATGAAAGCTGGGGCAGTGAAGGTGGTTGTGGCACTGTTCCCTTGGCCCTGCCACTAGCCTCGGTGGAGGTTCTAAGTTTCCCTATGAGAGCTCAGCTCCACTGCGGAAGACGAGCAGGGTTCCCCTAAGACCATCCTGGTACTAAGCACCTCTCACTCTCTCATGCAGCTGCTGGGGACTTTCAGAAGCATGGAGTTGAGAAGAGGAAAGACCTTCATCAAATCCAGCTTGCAGATTTCCCATGAAAAGCCTCTGGAGCCCACAGCCCCTGCTCCGACGAGGGAGGAGGCAGGTCCACAGTCAGCCTCGTCAGGAGGGCAGCCGTGGCCCCCTGGTGACAGGTGCTCCCAGGTCAGCCCTAGCATGCAAGGACACGAAAGATATGCCAACAAAGGCGTGCAGCCAGACCCGGATGCGGGAACTGCTTTCAGACTAGTGCGCAAGAGCAAAACACATGACAACGTGTCGGGGGCTGCAGGGCAGCTGGTGGGCAGTGCCAGCTTCTCAGAGCCTTCGGGCACCCACCGCATGATTGACTACCGCCACTTTGTGCCCCAGATGCCCTTTGTGCCAGCCGTTGCCAAGAGCATCCCGAGGAAGAGAATCTCCCTGAAAGGACCCAAGAAGTGCTTTCGGAACTTGTTCCACATCCGTAGGAACAAGACTGAGAACTTGGCTTCCCTGGAGACAAAGGGGAAGAGCTTGTTCTCCAAGGGCTCGTTGGAAAGTGGCGTGCAGCAGGGCAAGGCCCTGTTCTCCCTGGGCGAGGGGCTGGGGCTGGAGGGTCAGTCTCAGGACCTGTTTGACTTGGAGCTCCTGCCTGAGGCCTCCTTTGACCTCTGCAGGGCCTTGTGTGAAGATGTGGCCTCGCTCAAGAGCTTCGACTCCCTCACGGGCTGTGGGGAAATCTTCGCCGATGAGAGCTCAGCGCCGTGCCTCGAGCTGAACGAGGGTCCCGGGAGTCTGGCTCCAGCATCGCAGGTCTCAGAGGGCAAAGCGCCCCGAAGCCCCTTCCAGGGCGGCGTGGAGCAGCTGGCGTCGCCGGCTCAGAATGAGGCGTCTGACTTTGCCAAGTTCTGGGACAGTGTCAATCACTCAGTGAGGAAACAGCAGCGGGCCTTGGCGGGACCGTGGCTGGGAGAATCCCCGGAGGCAGACACAGATCACTCCAGGCTGGACACAGCTGGGCTTGCCGAACTCCCCCTGTACCCCTGCAGGGACCCCCACAGCAACTCCAAAGCCAGTTCCATAGACACAGGCACCCCCAAGAGTGAGCAGCCAGAGTCTCTGTCCACAAGTGACGAGGGCTACTACGACTCCTTCTCCCCGGGCCTCGAGGAGGAGAAGAAGGAGACCCTGAGCCCGGCGACGCCATCGGCGTCTTTCCCCCGGGACAGCTACAGTGGCGATGCCCTCTACGAGCTTTTCTGTGACCCCAGCCAGGGGCCTGATGACCCCAGCCTAGACAATGACCTGTGTGTGTCTGAGAGCCTCTCAGGGCCCGCCCATGGGACACCACTGTCCATGTGCAGCTTCCACATGGGGGCAGAGGAGAACCTAGCCCCAGCACCGGGCCCAGACCTGCTCAGCCAAGGCTTCCTGCAGAGTTCCTGGAAAGGCAAGGAGTGTCTGCTGAAGCTCTGTGACACGGAGCTCGCCATCACCATGGGCATCATCAACTGGCTGCGTCGTGGCCCTGAGCTTCATGCCCCAGCTACCCCCACATCCGGGGAGCCTGCAGGTGCATTTGAAGGAGCAGCAGCAAAGCTGGGCACTGGCTCTGAGCAGACCACTCAGGGGCCTGGGAAGCTGGAGGGCCAGGGGGCCTGGGCCACTGGTGCAGGCAGGAGTCCTACAGGCTCAGCTGCCGGCACACAGCGATTGTGGGCACAGTCGGGTCCCCAAAACCTGCTTGTGAGGGAGAGTGAGGGCCCGGGGAAAGTCAAGAAGGGAACCAGATCTCTCTCCAGGGACCTCTCTCCTGAGCATATGCAGGTGTCTGAAGGAGCAGGGACATTGGGGGGCCCTAAAGGCTCTTTCTCATCTGTGGACTCTGCCGCTCCAGAGAAAACAGACACTTTGAGCAAAAACAGGGCTCCCAAGCCTTCGGCGTGGCCCAGCTCCCTAGGGTGTCTTCAAGGTCTCTGGGGACCAGGGCTTAGGGGAAGTGACCTGGACACAGAGCCTAGCTTGACAGGCTGTGTAGCCCAGGTGGCTGCCCTCCAGATTCATGAGGCCTGCCAGACCCATGGCGCACAGCCCCCGAGACAGGACACAGGCGTGACCCGCTTTGGGCAGACTCAGGCCAGGAGCCCTGACACTCTGCAACAGAAACAGCCGAACGGCTTCCCTGGTGTGGCTGCCCTCCGTGGCCTGCCCTCCCTTTTCAGCCCGCTCCACGGCCCACAGAACCAAAGCTGCCCAGGCTACATCCTGAACTTGAGCCAGCTCAGAGTAGAACCCACTAGACTAGATGCTCAGTTCCATGCCTCCGTGGAGGACCCACCCCTGTGGCTCAGCCTGAGAGCCATTGAGCAGGCAGCCCACAGGGGACATCTGGACTCTTAGCCCCTGCTGCCCAGATGAACTTCTGGATCCTCCTAGAGAAATCCCAGGTCTCATCCTAGACAAGCAGCAGAAGGCACCCCTTGGCAGTATCTCCAAAAGTACACTGCAGTTTTCTCATGTATCTAAGTTCCCCCACAGCCATCTAGAAGTGAGCAAGCCCAAGCCAGCCATGACTAAACCCCACCAAATGCTGAGACTCGACTTTTGCAGGCTCTGCTTCTTTGTGGCCTCATGGAAAATAGGCTAGGATTCCAATTTCCTGTTCTTTGTCCCTGGGGTGAGGAATGTACTGGCTGGGGTTGAGGGGATGGGAGGCCACAAAACTCAGGCAAACAGGGCAGGCATTTTAACATGGAGGCGTCCAGGTATGAATCCACAAACTCTGCCACATTCTATGGGTGACACAAGACCAAGAACAATTGTGATGCTGCCAGGACTCTCAGAGTGCCCCTCACTCACTCCTCCCCTTCCCCCCAAGGGAACGAAGAGCCTGATGCCAGAGTTTAAGTTTGAAGGGACTGTCCCGGCCGCTCCTCACATATCATGACAGAGAGGAGCTTGGACTTGAGACTGACAGGAAGAAAATGGTAAATATTATAAACTGCAAGTAGAGTGAGCCAGTGGACCTGCACTGGAGCGGGGAACAATCAGTGTGTGACTTGGGGATCTAAGACTCAGGAGTAGACACAGGTGAGAAGTGTGACGAGGGGCAAGAAGGCAAGAGACAGACAAGGTGGAGGCTGAGGCTGAGTTCAGGAGGTCCCCAGAATCAATAGCCACAGCATCACCCACAGGAATCAGATCAGGAGCTGCCCTGTCTCCACACGGGTCTTGATTTGAGATGTTGTACACTACGGCTCAGCCCTCTCAGGGCTGGCTAAGCCCTCACTACCTCAGTTGATGGTGTCGGTGAATTCCCCGATTAAAAAAACATCCCATATAGAGATAACAGTTTCCCCAAACTTGTACTTTTAACCTGAGCCATGGATGTCAAAATTCTCTTTGGGAAGAAGTTGATGAGTTCTTTCTCACTGTCCTTCTTCCTTCTCCGTACAACAGCCCTGCCTCATCTCTTAGGAAAACTCACCTCTGAGTAGGGCATCCAGAATAATAGAGGCTGAGTTCTTAAGAAGGGCAGGTGTCTGTTCTGGCCAACTGAATAGATCCAGTGTCCTGCAAGGTGCTCTGATTTAGTTCCACCTCAGTCAGCATGCAGTAGTGGGGTGGAAAGGACGAGTTGCCCTGGGAAGCTAGAATGGAGGCAATCCAGATGAAAGGCTACTGTTCCAGATGGAGAGATGCTGACCCCATGTGCAGAGTCTCTCTGGATGCTGTTTCAGGCTTTACATTAAGTTCCACAGCCCTATTAACAAATGCTAACAGGAACCTATCATTTTCAGGACACAGGTATCACATTGTAGGCTTGAAAGTTTGCTGGTCATGGCACCCCAAACTGAGGTGCTAGTGTGGCAGCCCTCCTGGGAAGCCTCATTGAATTCATGTTCCTTGCACTGCCACAAAAACGATCATGGAGGTATCATCAAGCCTTGCTTTGAGCAAGTCATTATTGAAAACTACTTCACCAATCTCAGTGCTGTTGCTATGCTCATTTCTCAGACAGGGGACTAAAGCGTCATGTGTTGTGTAGCCTCCCCGGACACACACAGCAATGTGTGAGGTTGATGGGGTTAGCCAACAGCCCAGATCCAAGGCCAGTGCTTCACCAGGTACTTGGAACTTCTTTGGGTGAGGTGCTGCCCTGACCTGGAGCTGCGTCCCTTGCAGGCAGTCATGTGTCACCCATGTGTCACAGTCACATGCTGTCCTTTAGTAGGATGAGTCCAGAACTGTACCCCTATTGATCAGAATGTTGTCACTCTACTGTGCCTGAGCAGAGTAAATGCTAAGTAAATACTTGTGGAAAAAATGAAATATCAAAAATCTTGCGTATGATTTTCTGATATTTTCTTCGTCATGAGCCTTCTGAATGGAGCATAGCAGGCTAAGGTTTATTTGGCAGTGTTTTTTTTTCCCCTGGGGAGTTGCCAAGATCTGAAATGGCAATGCACAATGATGGATGGGGGAGAATCCAGACAGACCCAGACAGGGCCTGTGATGGGCAGGGACCAAGGAAGTCCAGGTCGACTCACAAAGACTCAGGACTCAGCAAGAAGACCGGCAGCATGGTCTGTGGTGCAAGCTCAGGAACTGGGGCTTTTCATGTGTGGAAGCATATGTAGATCCAGTGGCTGTCCAGCCCGTCATCCTGGGAGCATTGTGAGAAGCCTGAAGGGAAGGAAAATCACAGGGCCAACTCCTTGGATAGGTCACTCGGTCAGCTATCTGCATTGAAAATGCCCAGTTAGGGTAATTCCGGAACTCTGATGATCTATAATCTTTTTCACATATGGCTTTTGAATATGTAGAAAGTCTATCCATGTAAAGTAAACTTCATATAAGTAGATCCAGTTGATCCCAGTTCACAGGTCTTGAGTGATTTAGCAGGAGGTTCAGGGGTTCACCCGGAGCCTGTATACCACATTCTCCCAATCCTCTAACCTCTGAGGTTGTTTGGAAATTGGAGAGCTGAGAGAAAGCCAGGCAGCCTCCTGGTGTCCCTAATAGTGAGGAAGACCTTGATACAAATGCAGGAGGACTGGAATATACTGGAAAGGAGTGTGTGGGCGCGAGGGGGGAGGGATATACTAAAATGGACCAGTATGGGCTAGGGTAGAGTCCATGAGTTTCATGGAGGTGTATCTTTTCATGCTCCTCCCCCCTCCCTCTCCCTCCCTTCCTTCCTCCCTCCTCCTTTCTCCAATCTCCCTCCCTCCCTCTTTCTCCCTCCCTCTTCCTCCCTCCCTCCCTCCCTTCCTTCCTTCCTACCTTCCTTCCTTTTTTCCCTCCATCCCACCCTTCCTCCCTCCCTCCCTCCTCCCTCCCTCTCTCCCTCCCTCCCTCCCTCCCTTCCTTCCTTTCTTTCTCTCTCTTTCTCCTTCCTTCCTTCCTTCCTTCCTTCCTTCCTTCCTTCCTTCCTTTCTTCCTTTCTTTCCTTTCTTTCTCCTGGTCCTGTCAGGGGAAGAGGATGGTTTCTCCTAATGGGACTACCTCAAGTGGAAGAGACTTTCTCAGAAACTATAAAAAATCTTCTAAGCTAAAAGAAGGGGATTCCACCCCATTTCCACATATTTCAGTTCCTGTATTACATAACAGAGAGATATGGATGGAATAAGGATAGGAGGAAGGACAAAAATAAGAGGAGGGAAGGGAGGGATGGAGGGAGGGAGGGAGCGAGGGAGGGAGGGAGAGGGAGGGAGGGAGGGAGGAAGGTATTCCCTTGCTATACTTCTTTATATCCTGCAGATGAGGATGATAATTCTGTTTGTCCCTCTTCTTCTGACTGACTTCACTCAGCTTAATATCCTCCTATTCCATCCACATAGTGACAAATTATATTATTTCAACTTTTCTTACAGTCAATTAGTTTTCTGTTGTGTGTGTAAATTATAATATATATGTATTATATATGTACATGCATATGAATCTCCTTATCCAGTCACTTTCCCTTGAACACTTGGGTTGCTTCCAAATTTTGGCAACTGTGAATAGTGTTACAATAAAAATTATAAATTACAGCTAAAAGAAGATGCAAGGAAATGGAAATGCATCACCTGTTCATGGATTGGATTGGAAGGCTTAATGTTATCAAATGACAATACTACCAAAAACAAGATACAAATTAATGCAGTTTATATAAAAAATATCCCTGACAGGCTGGAGAGTTAGTACAGTGGTAGGATGTTTACCTTGTATTTGGCCAACCTGGGTTTATTCCCTAGTACCACATTTGGTCCCCTGAGTCCTGCCAGGCATGATTCCTGAGTTCAGAGTCAGGAGTAAACCTTGAAAATCACCAGGTGTGGCCCAAGAAACAGAAAAATCCATAGCATTTGAAAAAGACATAGATCAAATGATGCTGGAGAAATAACCACCCTCCCCCAAATAGTTAAAACATCCTAGGGGCAAAGATGGGAGGCCTTTTTTAAATCTAACTTTTAAAATTATACTATAAAACTATAGTACTCAAGACAGTGTGGTATTAGAATAAGGATAGACTCTCAGATCAATAGAATCAAATTCAGATACTGTAGGTAAATCCTCAGGTATATGGTAATCTAATTTTTGACAAAGGAGCTAAGAGTATAAAGTGGAACCAAAAATGTATCCCAAGCACATGGTGTTGGGAAACTGTTTGGTTATGTAAAAAAAATGAGCTCAGACTCCTATCACACATCATGCACAAAAGTAATTCAAAAATGGATAAAAGAGAGGGGCTGGAGCGATAGCACAGCGGTAGGGCGTTTGCCTTGCATGCAGCCAACAAGGCCGATCTGAGTTCGATTCCTCCGCCCCCTCTTGAAGAGCCCGGCAAGCTAACGAGAGTATCTCGCCCGCACGGCAGAGCCTGGCAAGCTACCCGTTATGTATTCGATATGCTAAACACAGTAACAACAAAGTCTCCAATGGAGACGTTACTGGGCCTGCTCGAGCAAATCGATGAACAACAGGAGGACAGTGATACAGTGATACAGTGGATAAAAGAGGCTGTAGCTATAAGACAGTGGGTAGGGTGCTTGTTTTGCAAGGAACCAGCCTGCCTTTGATCTCCAGCACCCCATATAGTTCAGGAGTAATCCCTGAGCCTGACAGATAAGTGTGATCTGAGAACAAAAAAAACAAAAAAATCAAAATTAATTAAAGCCCTTAATATCAGACCTGTATATAAATAATGGGATGGAGTGATAGCACAGCGGGTAGGGTGTCTGCCTTGCACGTGGCCAACCCAGGTTCGATTCTTCCGCCCCTCTCGGAGAGCCCAGCAAGCTATTGAGAGTATCCCGCCCTCATGGCAGAGCCTGGCAAGCTCCCTGTGATGTATTCAATATGTCAAAAACAGTAACAGCAAGTCTCACAATTTGTTGTGAGACATTACTGGTGCC